TGGATAAGAGTTTTTCTTTCTCTCCTACTTTAAAATTTGTAGTCCTTCATAAACGTGGAGAGGTCCAGAAACAATAATTGTAAACAATTATTTGTTCTACAGACAAAAACTGTAGACTTTTTCTGCCAGCAAATGAGGCAACGATGGTTTTGAAAGGAAACTGGATAGAACCGTGGGAGACAGGACTAATAGTGGCTACTAAGTTTGAAAATTATTTTATTTATCATCATCTTCGCATACCGCTCAATCAGATGGACTCGTGTACCACGTACAACCAGACCCAAAAAAAACCCATGCCATAAAATCACTATATTCCTACCTGTGAAGGATCCGTCACTCGCAGTGTGACTACATCCTCACTTGTGTATTTGATGAAGAGATGATTCTCATCCAACAGTTGCATCTTCCACATGCGGAGCTGCCTTAGCTGGTCAAAATATTGGAAGAACCTCCTTTTAGCCATGGCGCTCCCGTCTTGCTCTGCCCTTCGCCACAAATAGACTAACAGCCTGTGTTTCAGAGAATTGATGAACGGCTCTTTGTAGGGGTTGGCCATTCCTGTCTGTGAATCCCGCTGGACCTCTGGGTAGACAGCAGAGAGCATGAGAAGGTCATCCTCGTAGCAAAAGCGCCCTATAGTTCGCACATCAATGAAGGTACCTTCAGCCGTTACCTGAAAGACGTGAATTGTTTGCTGCTGCACGGAGAGAATAGCCAAGATATTCTTATACAGGTAGAGTCCTTGGTTGTGGGATAAGATGACTTTGTCGCATTTGAAGGTCCGGGTGTCACACAACCGACCAGTGTGAAGGTCTATAATGTGCAAAGAATAATCTTCCAAAGGAGACCTGGGATTAGGAGTCACTGATTCACTGTTGCGGTACACCTCGAAAAAGGGAGGATGGGGCTCCTCGGGCAGATAGGCAGCAGAACCGACAATGACGTACCGACAATCGTCTGTAAACAAGCTACATTCACGGTTCAAGTGCTCCCCATTGGAGGCCACGTTGGTGATATGAAGAAGGACAAAGAACCGTTCAAAGAGCCGCCCACGGATGTTGACGGACCTCTGATCGTTGCCATTGGCCAAGATCTCTCCATCATAGCCCTGGAGGAGATCCTCTGCCGCCTGACATCCTTGATATTCATAGATCTCCAAAGACGTCTGATCTGAGGAGAAAGCAATGAAGTATCTTCCATCGGGGGAAAACTTTCGTAAGAAGCAGGGCGGCTTCTCTACGTTGACCACGGTAAAATTGGGGAAAACGTTCTGATGAAAAATGCGGACCTGGTGCCAATGTGTGCCAATTTTGCCAGAGGTGATCCTTCGACGTTCTAAACGGTAAATGACGTTCTGGTTCTGGATCCGACGAGGTCTGATGGTTGGGTTGTCATGTTCCATCCTAATTTCTTCAAATAGGGGACGTCCCAGGAACACTGGGCTCTGAGGAAGCCACAGGGCATATCATGTTGTCAAGCAATGGAACATTTGGAGGCAGTGATGATAAAACTGTAGAGAGAAGGCGGACATTCAGGAAAAGAGGCATCAGTCTTAAACCCACATCTAGTCTTAAATCCCACAAAGAAGAGGGAGTCAAGCTATTCTCCAAGGCGCCTGAAGGCAGGACAAGAAGCAACAATGGATGGAAATTGATCAAGGAGAGAAGCAACCTAGAACTAAGGAGAAACTTCCTGACAGTTAGAACAATTAACCAGTGGAACAACCTGCCTCCAGAAGCTGTGAATGCTCTAACAGTGGACATTTTTAAGAAGAGACTGGACAGCCATTTGTCCGAAATGGTATAGGGTTTCCTGCCTGAACAGGGGGTTGGACAAGATGACCTCCAAGGTCCCTTCCAACTTTATCATCATCATCACCATCATCACTATTATTATTATTATTATTATTATTATTATTATTATTATTATTATTATTATTATTATTATTAGTTAAGATGAAACACATTAGTGTTCTCACAAAAGGAAAGCAATTCAAATCTGTGGTGACAGTATGAATTCAGCATCTGGTTTCTGCCCCATGCACACACACAAATACAAAAAAAAAATGCTATTTTTAAGCTGCTACAAGATTCTCCGATACTTTGTATTGTTTTCCAGAATTACTATCACATGAACTGAGCTTAAAATATCACACTTACAATTAAGGAAATACTTTACAATTTAGGAATTTGTTTCCCAAATGAAACAAGGCAATATTTAATGTAAATTACAAATTGCTCAGAAGAGCTAATGACTAAAAAGTGGGAGGGAGCCCATCCTTCTTTTGGAGTATTCCATTCCACTTGAAGTAGCAATGATATACTCAAGTAGGCCATTAGAAAGAGCAGTTCAAACTACTGACTCAAACTCTTATGAAATGTGATCTAATCTGATACAAGAGTGAGTGGGTTAGATTGTAGCAATGCCTCTGCAATAGCATTGATTTCCATCTTTCTTTTAAGGATGCTTTTCCTGTATTTGTTTTTTTCTTTGTAACAAATTGAGGTAGATTGGACTGAATAGAATCTGAATACAAATTTAAATCCAAGCCCAACCATTCTACCTAGTATTTCCAAATTTGGGGCAGAATGCAGTACATCTCAGCTGACTTTAACCTGAATGTTATTAGTTTGTTTCTTGTTCTTTTCCCCCTTTCTTTTTTAAGCACATGTGAAACAACTCAGTGGTGGAATACATATCTTACATTTGGACTATTTCTGAACCTTGTCTGAAAGTCTGCTTTAAGTCAGGGTAGACCATACGGAGCTGATCTGGCCTAAGAGAATTTCTTAGGCAAGTAGGTAAGTAAAGCTAATGAAGCAAAAAGATGGAGGTTCAAGTCCACCCTCAAGCACAGAAACTCACTGGGTGACTTTGGGCCAGTTATTCTTTTTTAGCACAACTTTACTCACAGGGTAATTGTTGCAGGGAAAACTGGAGGAGGAAGCAATATATGTGCCACTTTAACCTCCTGGAAGCAAGGCAGGATACAAGCTTGATAAATAAAAGGCATTCTTTAATTCATTGTATTCACCTAATTTTTTTTTTTCACATTTGTAAGCCGCTCAGAGTCGCCTCGAACTGTGAGACGGGTGGCAAATAAATGTATTCATTTAATTTGTATCCCGCCTATATTATTTTTGCACGTAACTGAAGACAGCAAACGTATCCAAATGACAAATAAATTTAATGAAAAAAATAATAATAATCAGCCAGCACTCCCCCTTTCTGCAGACTTCATCCCACCTAAGTGGAAAGAAGGAAATTTAGAGAGGTAGCCACCTATAGAGGTGGGCAGTTCCACTAACAAAGAACTAGCTAATCCACTAAGGGGAATTCCCCCACTTGAGAGAAATATAAATGAGGGTGAAGAAATATAAATGTCATGGCCACTGGGTCTGAGAAATTAAGGGCCACAAAAGCCAACTCCCACAAGTCCTTTGGGTTCATGGCATCCTTCAGTTATTTTAATGATTATGAAGATATTTCAATTACTTTGTTTTAAATCTTTTTTTTAAAAAAGTAATCCTAAATTCTTTGGGTTTAAATGTTTTATTATATCAATTAAATTGTACACCTCCCAGAGCACCTCTATGAGTGAGATGGGTGGTTTAAGAAGTTTGATATATAAGGAAAGAAATATATTTGTGGCTCGCAAGATGCTGACATTCGGGGATCGGCTTTAATCGACATTTGCCCAGTTTGTTTTCTTAAGGAGGAGCCCAAAGAGGCAACTGAAGCCCCTTTTTCCCGAAGGACAGGTGAAAGAGGCCGGAGCAGCCCTTTGGCTACAGCGAACCAGAATCAGAATCGAGTTGGAAGGGACCTCGGAGGTCTTCTAGTCCAACCCCTCGCCCAAGCAGGAGACCTTATACCATTTCAGACAAGTGGCTGTCTAGTCTCTTCTTAAAAACCTCCAGTGATGAAGCACCCACAACATCCATCCATCCATCCCTATCTTCAATCAATTTAATCAGAACAGAGCTGGAAGGGACCTCGGAGGTCATCTAGTCCAGCCCCCTGCTCAAGCAGGAGACCCTATACCATATCAGACAAGGAGCTGCCCAGTCTCTTGGCAGAATAACAGACTTGGAAGGCACCTAGGAGGTCATCTAGTCCAGCCCCCTGCTCAAGCAGGAAACCCTATACCATATCAGACAAGGGGCTGCCCAGTCTCTTGGCAGAATAACAGACTTGGAAGGGACCTAGGAGGTCATCTAGTCCAGCCCCCTGCTCAAGCAGGAGACTCTATACCATATCAGACAAGGAGCTGCCCAGTCTCTTGGCAGAATAACAGACTTGGAAGGGACCTCGGAGGTCTTCTAGTCCAGCCCCCTGCTCAAGCAGGAGACCCTACACCATTTCAGACAAGTGACTGTCTAGTCTCTTCTTAAAAACCTCCAGTGATGAAGCACCCACAACATCCATCCATCCATCCCTATCTTCAATCAATTTAATCAGAACAGAGCTGGAAGGGACCTCGGAGGTCATCTAGTCCAGCCCCCTGCTCAAGCAGGAGACCTTATACCATATCAGACAAGGGGCTGCCCAGTCTCTTGGCAGAATAACAGACTTGGAAGGGACCTAGGAGGTCATCTAGTCCAGCCCCCTGCTCAAGCAGGAAACCCTATACCATATCAGACAAGGGGCTGCCCAGTCTCTTGGCAGAATAACAGACTTGGAAGGGACCTCGGAGGTCATCTAGTCCAGCCCCCCGCTCAAGCAGGAGACCCTACACCATTTCAGACAAGTGGCTGTCCAGTCTCTTCTTAAAGACACGCTTCTCCACGCCTGGAGAAGCGTGATTCCCCCTCCCCACGCAACGGGGCCAGCGCTTCCACGCCTATCCCGGGAGGATGCGGCAAGGGAAGACCCCCACCTCGATACTTTCCGCTCCAACTCGCTCCTGATGGGGCGAACTCCCACCGTTCACTCGACAGCGCTGGCGGCCGCCATCTTTCCGCCAGAGGAGGCGGGCCTAACCCCACCAACGAGTCCGCTGCAGCCGACCGGCCGCACCACTCCGAAGCCCGAAATTCGCACAGATGCCATAGAGTAAAGGACGGGAATGATAGAGCGACCACTCCGCGTTATGGCTTATTACGCTTCCGTCGCTTCTGCCCCGGGCAGCGTCCCCTGGCGTCTGGAGGTCGCGACGCGCGTTGCTTCCTTCTATCTCGCCTTCTGCATCGCTGTCATGGCAACCGCATCTTCGTTGAATTTGGCGCCATGGCAACCCGCTTCTTAGGAGGGAAGAGGGCTCCTGGCATCTAAGGAGCCGCCCTCTCCTCCAGAAGGCACCTCAGTGGCTGAAGATGGGCCTCATCATGTGCTTCAGGGCAATAGACAAACCAACAGATGTGGTCCTAGGATAATCACTCCAAGAAAGACCTTCCCCACTCGAACCTTTAAGTATGGGCAGAATAAAGACAGGCCCCTTGAGGTTGCCATGCCAACCACTCTCATCAGTTGGATGCCTTGCCACCACAGCTGCTACCTAGCAGGGTACCATGACAACCTAATGCATCACGGCCACATCTCATACATACATGAACACATGCACACCAGCCTAGTAATCTCCACATGTTCCACCTGCCAACCTCTGCAGCAAGTAGTTGCTATGCAGACTAGAAATGTTGAGTACGGAGACATAAAGTTGAAAACGGTAACACGTAAACAGACTGCGATGGAAAGGTATGATCCACACTACACAAGGCCTGTTGCCAACTTGGACTTTGAAGCTTTTGATGACTCCCAGCTTGATGACTTGAAAATATATTTCATTTTTTTTTTTAATCATCCATGCTCCTTTCCCATTGTGATCAGTGCACTCTTAACAGTCTAGTCTCATGTTTCCTTTATGTAGACTGAAGAACTTACTATAAACACAGTTCAACTATCGTCACTACAGTACAATGACCTCTGCAGAAAACCCCCAAATTAAGGCATCAAGAAATTATTAAGAGATGAATGTGACTTAGTTGGGATTGCAATTTAAATTCATCAAAAAAAAAGTGATTTGATTATCGTGTGTTGCTCACAATGTTATTATCTTTCATATCTTCTTTTTTGAGCTAAGTTTTATATTATATAATATTTTATTTTAGGCAAGCCCCCCCAAAGGTCTACCAAACCAATTTTGGGATCCATGATTCAGACTTGCTGAAATTCTACTGTTTCCTTGAACACCCAAAGTATTTGAAGATACATGAAAAAGAAAGGCAAAATTTAAAAAAAATCTCACTTTGCTCTCTGATCTGTCAATGAAACAGATCAAATTTTGTTTTAGGTTAGTGTTTGGAAAATATGTTTTCATGTGAAGTTAGCAGAATCGATATCCCTGCTGTGTATTGACTGTTAGAATCCAATTGCAAAACACCAGGGTTCTCTTACATTGATCACAAGTGACTTAAATCAAAGTCTTCCATTTTTAAAAATATTATGAAACAAAACAACAATTGAA